TTAGTATATAGGCACTAAATTAATTCTCCTGGTATATAGTAGTCCAGGCCTACAATGATGAGGATGGTGATGATGATCATAAAGCTAACATTTATATAGTGCTTACTAATGTACTGAGCACTTTACAATTATTATTTCATTTGATCCTTACAACAACCCTGAAAGGCAGGTGCTATTATTATCACCATTTTACAGATGGGGAAACTCAGGCAGACACAGGTTAAGTGACTTGGCCAGGATGACACCATGATTCATTTTAATTAAAAAAAAATTCATGCTTAAAAATTAGTAAAAGTTTTCAGTATATCATACACATAGAATTATTTCTTTTCCTATAGTAGACGATTTTAAAATAATTTTTAAGAATGAAGAAATCAGTTGATGAAGTAATGATTTGGTGAAGAAATCATAGTTATAACCCAGTATTTAGCACTTCTAGTATAGGCTATAATTATGTACTGACATAACAGTATATAACATTAGTATTGAAGGGAAATAAAACATAAAAAAAGTTTAAAAGTTTTGGAATTTCAATGAGAGGCAGCTAGAATGTACACAGGGAGCTAATTTAAACTAAATATGGACAATGATGAATTCTTTTTTGTAAATAGCACACTTTGAAAGACATGTCATATCATATATACAATGGTAAGAAAACAGAGGCTCTTTGAATACTATTTTTTTCAGTTTTTATTGGTTGACAGAAAACTCAGCAATACTAGTAGGAATTTATATTTCGGTAGGAAAGGCTGAGATGGGCACATTTGGATTGTAAAACAAGTGTTGATGATGGTGATAAACACTGATATATGGTCAGGATAATGTATTTGAAGTTTCTTGTGTGTTAGTGATAAAAATCAATTTAGAAATCATAGCTTTTTAAAATGTTCAATTTAATCATATTGTACAATGTGTAAAGTGACTCTGGTTTCTTTTATAAACTATGAAAATAATATATAACTAGCACTCCATGCAGAAATGACATTATCATTTTTCTTTAACAAACTAGACACTTCTCTAAAGTGACTTCCTTGAGAAACATTTTTAAATGCTGCCATCTAGTGAAATTTTTGTGAATAGCCTGTTGATTTTTTCACTTTTATCTTTTCGCGTTTCATAGACCATGCTCTCATAAAATTATAGAATCTCAGAGTTGGAAAACATCCCAGAAGTCATATAGTTGAACCCTGTACCTGATGTGTGAATCCCTTCTACAATACACATAAGCAGTGGACATACAACCTCTGCCTGAATTTCATTAGTCATGGAGTATATACCACCTGCAGAAGGAGCCTATGCAATTTGTAGCTTTGATTCTTAAGATTTTTTTTCTTATTAAGTCAAATACTGCCTCCCTGTGGCTTCTTCTACATTTAGGAAAAGGCTGATGAAACTAAACCCTCTCTTTAAGTTCCTTACGATATAATTTGTTCAGGCCAGTTGACTTTAATTCACTGAGAACTGAGGAGAACTACTTTACTGTGTCTTTTCTTTGTCTTGTCTTTCAATTCACTCTTAATTCTTTTTGTTCCACACTCTCAAATTTGGGGATCATTCTCTTTGATAAAAAAAAAAAAGTAAGAGTAGTTATATATGTCTCAGACTCAAAGAAGGTAAAAACTAGAAGGGAACTTATAGATAATTGAGTTCAACCCCTTCATTTTGCAGATGAGAAAAGTAAGGCCCAGAGAGGTTACTGAACCAAGAATACACAGTAAGTCAGTGGCTGAGCTGGACCTTGAAGCTAGGGATCCTGAATCCCAATCTAAGACTTTTCCATCTACAGGATGATAACCTCTAATTTTGTCAGATTAGTCAAATTTTAATTAGGTACATGTTCATAGCTACTCATGTGGGAAGAGAAGTTGTATGCATCTTACAACACATTGCATATCAATGTTAATGAATGTCAAAGAAAATGTGATGCCACAGAGGCTAGGGATTTAAATAATACAACATATATATTTTCATTCCCCAAAGAACCATTGCCTACAAATGATTTATGATAAAAATGAAAGAAAGTAATCAGTTTTCTATCATCAATAAAATTTTTGATGTTTCTATATTTTGACATTGTAGAAAAGGCTTTTGATTAGAATAAAGTGGTGTATTCCACTTTTAAAAAGAGCAGTATTCCAAGTCATTCCCCAATTGATAAATGGTCAAAGGCAGTTTTCAGATGAAGAAATTAATGCTATCTATAGTCATATGAAAAAATACTCTAAATCACTATTGATTAGAGAAATGCAAACCAAAACATCATACCTATCAGAATGGCTAACATGACAAAACAGGAAAATGATAAATATTGGAGAAGATATGAGAAAATTGGAACACTAATGCATTGTTGGTGGAGTTGTAAACTGATTCAACCATTTTGGAAAACAATTTGGAACTATGCCCAAAGGCTATAAAATGTACATACCCTTTGACCCAGTAATAGCACTTCTAGGGCTGTATCCCAAAGAGATCATAAAAATGGGAAAAAGCACTCACATGTACAAAAATATTTATAGCAGCTTTTTCTGTGGTAGCAAAGAATTGAAAAATGAGTGTATGCCTATCAATTGGGGAACGGCTGAACAAGTTGTGGTATATGAATGTAATGGAACACTATGGTGCTATAAGAAATGATGAGCAAGTGGACTTCAGAAAGACCTGGAAAGACTTGTATGGACTGATGCCGAGTGACCAGAACCAGGAGAATGTTGTACACAGTAACAGCCACATTGTGCAATGACTAACTTTACTAGACTTAGCTCTTCTCAGCAATGCCAGGATCTAAGTCATTTCCAGAAGTCTAATGATGGAAAATGCTATCCATATACAGAGAAAGAATGGAGTTGGAATGCAGATCAAAGCATACTGTTTGCCCTTTTTTCCTTCTGTTTTGTTTTGTTTCCTTTTTCTTGTGGTTCCTCCTATTGGTTCTAGTTCTTTACAACATGACTAATGTGACAGTATGTTTAATATGAATGTATAAGTAGAGCCTATATCAGATTACATGCCATCTTGGGGAGGGAGAGAAAGAGGGAGGGGGAGAAAATTTAAAACTCAAAAGCTTATGGAAGTATTGTTAAAAACTAAGAATAAAATAAAATAAAAATAAATAAAAATAAATAAACAGGAAAGTAGCTAGATGAAAATATGGGGTGTCTCAGTTTTAAGGTACTATAGTTTGAAACTTTACTAAGCTACTATAGCTTAAAACTGTACTAATATTTTTGGAACAGCCTGTCTATTCCATTGAGGGGGGCCTTTCCATATATCCTCAGCCTGTGCCAGCTTTTTGTTCAGGGCTCCTCTTAGCCCTGCCCTATGGCCAGGTTTGTTCCTTAGCCACCAGCATGAGACATAGTTCAGGGATCTTGTGAGGATGAAAATGATACTTTTTTCTTTTATTCTCTAATTTTGTTGATGACGTGACTTTTTTTAATCTGCCATGTAACCATTTGGGGCTTATCTTAGCATGTAATGTGAAAAGTTGGGTCCTAATTTGTGCCAGACTGTTGTCCAGTTTTCCCAGAGATTTTTGTCAAATAGTGAGTCTTTTTTCTCAGTGACTGGGATCTTTGGGTTTAGCAAAACTATGCTGTTGGATTTGTTTGACTCTCTTCTTTTCCTGTCTAATCTACTCCATTGATCATCCACTGATCAACCCTTTAGATTGTAAGCTTCTTGAGGACAAGGACTGTCTTTTGCCCCTTTTTGTACCCCTAGTGTTTAGCATAATACCTAGCACAAAGTAGTTGTTTAATAAATATTTATTGGCTGATTATCAACAGTGCCAAACTTTTAATGATTATTGCTTTGTGGTAAAATTTGAGTTTTGGTACTGATAGACACTCTTTCTTCCCACTTTTTTTCATTATTACTCTCGATATTCTAGAGATTTTGTTCCTCCAGATAAGCAGATACTTTAAAAAGAGCAATATTCCTTAGAGGTTAAATAAGAATTGAATATTTGTAAATATAATCTTTCTTTATCAACCAATTAGTATATAGTGAGCATTTACTATGTTCCAGGCATTTTTCTAAGCACTAGTGATAGAAAGGCACAGAGTCCCTGTCCTCAAGGAACTTATATTCTAATGAAGGAGAAAAGTAAATAGATACATACAGGATATATTCAGAGTTTATGTAATTCAAAGTATCATTCCAATAAATTATGATTTAGAAATTCATTTTCATATTTCTGACCTACATAAAGTAGAAGCATAGCTAGCTAGTATGCTTTTTGATTCATATGTATTTTGTATAACAGATGCAGAATATTAAAATAATTTTTGTTATGGACTTTCTTTTTGTAAGCACCATACTTTAGTCATAATTTAAATAGGAATGACTTATATTTTACAGTTTGCAAAGTGTTTGCACCTAGATTTAATAATTTGATCCATATATAAAAACTGTAAAGCAGAAAAAAAAGAGAAATTGTTTTTCCCATTTTGTAGCTGAGGAAACTGAGGCGATGAGAGCCTAAGTGATGTAACAAAAGTTCCGATGCTAGTAAGTGCTCTGGTGAGGACTAGAACTTGGATTTCAGGGCTCATTTTTTGTACGCTTTTCCCAGTAAGCCATGTGATTAATCATTTATTGACTGCCTTCTGTTCTTTCAAAACTGGCCCAGGCTCTGTGGAAGGTAACAGAGAAGCATAAGACAAAGTTCCTATACTGAGCTAGCTTATAGTCTAACTGGCAAAACAAAACAATACGGATGAAACAGTATAGGTTAGTAAACAAGTGGGTAATACATTAGAAACAATTATTCCTTTCAGGGCACTTTTCTTTGATGTTTTGATTATATCTCATCCTTAGTAATATTCCCCCAATTAGCACAGTTTGCAACTACTAAAGTATCCTAATCCTTAGATCTTTTTTTTTTTAGATCTGATTAACCCATTTTATTGCATGAAAAGTTTTCAAAAGATATTAAGGAATTCTGTACTCACTCTGCCTAAGCTTTAAGCAAATTAGCGATGTCTTGTATTTTACCCCAGGGTTGTTTTGTTGGCTTCGATCTGGCCCATGCAGTTGGTAATGTTGAGCTTCATCTACATGACTGGGGAGTAGATTTTGCCTGCTGGTGTTCCTACAAGGTAAAAAAAAAATATGCTTCATTTATTTAAATCCTTTGATTTTAAATGTATGTTTCAAATGGTCTTTGCTCTCATCAAAGTAACTACTTTCCGCAACTTCCACCCCAACTGCCCACACAGCTACACCATCTCATTCTGTATAACTCTTGTTCTTATATTTGGAATATTGCTCCTTCGAGTATTTATTCAATGCAATGGAGGCATTCATCTGGTTGTTTTAATATTCCATAGATATTTCAATATTTCGGGAATACCAGTTGAGCAGCCAGTCTGTCCATCTCTCATAACTCATTCTTGCTACAGGATCAGCTTCTTTTTTGTGTCATGTGTATTTTTGATGATATCTTTTATGTTGATTGTCACAGACAACATATGACTGGTAATATGTTGAAGCCTATTTGGAACTCCTAATTTATGACTAACTAGTTGATCCATGCTGACATTCTAACCATAGGTAGAACTAGAGGACACAAAGAGTTGAAGATAAATGAAAGTAAGGCTTACATAAGTTCTCAAGAAGTGAATAAACGAGCTGGTTTCATCATTCATCAAAAGCCATTAGGAAATGCTATTTATAGGACCTGTAGTCATCTCATCTTGCAGTGTTCATGATGTATAAAACAGACTGCAAAAAAGATATTTGCAGCTTAAATAGCATAAATATTTGCCATGATATGACAAAAAACCCAGAAACTTCCTTAAGTAGCAAACACCTTTCAATGTGGAGAAGACACAGTAAACAGATCAAGGACCACACCAGTATAGAATAGAAGCTTATTTGTAAAACATTACAGACAAGAATGGCAGAAGATAAATGTGTGTTTTTATGATTAAAACTAACATTTGTTATTGAAACACTTCAAATATATTTAGGAGGGAAAAATCATCTTACAAAATAAGTCTGACTGTGCATGCTCCTGTTCAATAAATTGGTGGATTCATTTTATCTCTAGAAAAAAAATGCATACTCCTTAAGCTGGCAATTTAAGGCTTTCATTTATTTACTCCAGCCTATCTTTGCAGTCTTATCTTGTAATTCACTTTAACACACTGTGCTTAAAAAGCAAAAAACAAAAGCACAAAACCAAATGAAGAAAAAATCCTATTTAATGTTCCCAGATGTAGGACTAGCATCCTTTGGGCTTTTGCACAAGCTGAATTCAGTGACTGGAATGCACCCTCTCTTCACCAATACCTCTTAGAATCCTTGATTGATTCCCTTCAAGGCTCAGCTTATATGTCACCTTCTGCAGGAAATCTAACCTGAACCCTTTAGTTGTTAAGACTCTCTCTTTTCTTCAAGCCATGGCATACATCCTTATTTATGTGTTGATCCCATAAATAAAATATAAACTCTTTAACATAAAAATTGTTTTTTTGCTATAACTAGCATTTATGAAGGCTTTAAGATTTGCAAGTCATTTTACATATGTTAATTATTTTAATCCTCATAACTATTTTCTATGAGGTAGCTACTATTATCCCATGAAGAAACAGAGGCCAATAGAAGCTAAGTAATTTGTCCAAGATTGCATAGCTAAGTGTCAGAAGTAGAATTTGAGTTCAGGTCTTCCTGACTCCAAGTATTCCAATACTTCATGCATGGCACCACCGAGTAGCTTTTGTATTTCCAGCACCTAGCACAGTCATTTTTGCATATTAGGTATTTAAAAAATACTTGCTGAGTTGAATTGGATTGGAAGAGTATAAGTAGTATAACAACAAAATGATGAAAAGTAGTTGAAGGGAAAATAAACTTACAGGTTACCCAAAAAACACATGCCTACATCTTTTATCTACAGAGCATCCCCTCTGAGTGTCTAATAGGTAGTTGAATTATGAGACTAGACATGAATGGAAAAGTTGGGGATGTATAAGTAGAATGGAGAATTATCAGCATAGAGATGGAAATTGAATACATGGAAGCCAGTGATTTCACCAAATGAAATAGGATAGAGGAAGAAGAGAAGAGGATCCAGGAAATATGACCTATATAAAGATCCAGCAAAGACTGAGACACAGTGTTTAGGTAGGCAGGAGAACCAAGAGACAATAGGATCCAAAAAAAAAAAAACTAGAGAGAAGAAAATATCAAGGAGAATAGGATATCTGACAGTATCAAAGGCTATAGAGAGGTCAAGAGGGATCAGAATTGAAAAAAGGTCATTTGATTTAGCAATTAAGAGATCATTGGAGAGAGCAGTTTCAGTTGAATTATGAGGTTCGAAGTAGGCTGTAATAAAGATAATTGCAGCTTCATTAGCATGGAGAATTAATGAGAAAGTAACAGAAGAGGATATGGAGGCATCTATTTATTGATGGCCTTCTCAAGAAGTATAGCTACAAAACATAGGAGAGATATGTGATGATAGTTAATAGTAATAGATTAGTGAGGGTCATTTGAAGATGGGGGAGATGGAGACATGTTTGTAGGCAGCAGGGGTGCCGCAAATGGAGAGGGACTTACTGAAGATAAGTGAGAGAGGGCAGAGCCAAAATGACAGAGTAGTGGCAAGTAGTATAGCCAAGCTTCCCTCCACAAAACTCATCCAAATAGATCTAGAAAATGTATGTGATTTTTCTCTGTATGAGGAAATCCAGAAAAAGTCACAGTAAGTCATTTTTCCAACTCAGGAAATGAACTCTCAAGCACCTAGGGAGAGGCAGTACACCAGGACAAAAGGAGTTCCCAGATCCAGACTAGGGAACCACTAGGCCTGCGGTACTGGATGAAGGTGGTGTGGTACAGACCCTAGGAGATCAGGATTTCAGTTCCAGCATCCAGCTTGACCTGTAGAAAAATAACCAGGGCAGAAATCCCCAAACAAACTTGGAGCCTACAAATCTGTCACTCTCAACCAAAAGAGATTTCCTACTGGGTGTTAAGGGCTGAATCAATTAGCATTATATTGTTGCTCAGACCCAAACCCAGGTCAGCAACTTGCAGAACTCAGACTCGGGAGCAGCAATCTGTCTTTGTCCTCTATCAGATCACTATGGGAATACTGAAAGCTTGCAGGTCCCTAGCCTTTCCCTGACATCCTGGAATTACACAACACTCATTACCCGCAAGAAAGCAGCAACAGGACCAGCCTAGATCTTCCCTCCTTAAGTGTGTCAGAGTATAGCCCTAACATCACGACTGATGTCAGAAAGTAGGCTGAAAGAATAAGAAAAAAGAGAAACCCTTATAAAGTGTTAATATGGCAGCAGGGAACCTCAAGAAACAAACCTGAAAAGAATGACTCCAAAACATTTATAAGCAAAGACTCAGAGAAAAAAAATACAGGTTGGATAAAAATTCAACTAGAATTCCTGGAAGAAATAAAACAAGAGTTTAAAATAGAAAAATTTTAAAAAATTTAATGAGAGTATTTAAAATGGAAAAGAAATGAGAGCTATGAAAGAATTGAAAAGGGAATGAACATATTGGCACAAGAGGTACAAAACCTTACCCAAGCACCAAACTTCCTGAAAATTAGAATTCATCAGATAGAAGCCAATGACTCCATGAGACCACAAGACATATTAAAACAAAGTCAAAAGACTGAAAAAAAAAAGAAAATGAAAAATATCTTATAGAAAATGTAACTGATCTGTAAAGCAGATCAAGGAGAAAATTTAAGAATACTTGGACTGTCTGAACTCCAAGAACAACAAACAAACAAAAAAAAAACCCCAACCCTAAACATCATATTTTAAGAAATCTTGAAAAAATATTGCCCAAATCTCTTAGAACCAGAGGACAAAATGGAAATAGAATCCACAAGTCACTTTCTGAAAGAAATTCCCAAATGAAAACTCCCAGGAACATCATAGCCAAAATCCAAAGTTTCCAGATCAAAACAAAAAAACAAAAACAAAAACAACAACAACAACAACAACAAAACTACAAGTAGTCAGAAAGGGAAAACTCAAGTACTAAGGAGTCACAGTCTGAATCAAGCATGACTTAGCCACCATTATAAATAGGAGCAGAAAACTTGGAATGCAATATTCAGAAGGCAAAGAGTATAGACTTACTGCCAAGAGTAACTTACCCAGCAAAACTGAGTATAATGTTCTAGAGGTAGAAATAGATTTTTAATGAAATAGAAGTCTTTCAAGCATTTCTAATGAAAAGACAAGAGGGGACATAGAAAGGTAAATATAAATGAAAAACAATAAAGGAATAAATAAGGATAAAAAGCTTACATTCAAATATGGGGGGATGATACATTATATCTACACTGAACTCTGTCATCATCAGGAATCACTAGGGAATCTAATTAGACAAGGTCTGGGAGTGGTTCTGTTACATCTTGGTGATCTTAAGAATAGGAAAGAGGAGGGAAAGGAATACTATGGAGGCAGGAGGAAGAGAAAGAAAACTTGGGGAATATTATCTCACCCTTATAATAAGGGGGCACAAGTATACATCTGTTCAATAAGGAGGAGGGAGTAGGGGAAGCAGCTGACACCAGAGCTCTTTCTTTTCTGAATTAGCTGAAAGAAAGAATACACCCACAAAATTGGGTAGAGAAATGTATTTCACTCAAAAGAAAAAAATAAGGAAAAGGGGGAAGGGGAATTATAGGAAGAGTAGATTAATAGAGGGATTAATTCTGAGCAAAACAAATTTTAAGGATATACAAAAAATATTTTTAGCTCTTTTTGAGGAGACAAAGAATAGGAATCTAAGGGGTGAGGTTGCCCATAAATTGGATAATGGATGAACAAGTTATAGTTAATAAATGTGATGGAATACTATTGTGCTATTAGAAATGATTAGGAAGAAAACCTGCAAAGGTTTACATGAACTGATGCAGTGAAACAAGAGAACAATTTATATAATGGCAACAATATGGCAAAGACAAGCAACTTTGAAAGAATTAGGAGCTCTTACTAGAGTAACAACCAATCACAATTCCAGAGATGCTAAAACATGCCATCTATGTCCTGATACATGTGAAGGACTCAGAATGCAGAACGGGAGAAAAATTTGTTTGGATGTGGCCAAT